TAACCACTATGTCATCTGCCGGCCCCAATGTGAGGTCTTTTTTTAGCGCTTCATGTCATAAGACACATGAGATCAGTTTGTCTCAGTCCTTTTTTTTTTTAAATTCATGAGAGAGAGAGAGAGAGAATGGACCAGTGTGGTAAGCGCACCCGGTAGGTCTCACACTGGGGTCCTCCCCAGCCTTCCCAGCCAGGTCACGGGCACACCCCAGGGTGTACGGGCTGACCGAGAGCCGAACTGTGCTGGCGCTGCTCCTCTGTGGCTGGGCCAAACCCGTCTCGTCATGGGCGGTGACGACTGGTTCCTGATGAAGCTGCTGCCTGGCAGGGTGGTTAGCTTTTCAGTAGTACTTTCTTGGGCCTTCCCCTCCACGGTGCTACCCTGACAAGTATGGGGTTGGACTCATTACTAGCTCTTTTCAAGCTCCAGTGTAATTCCAAAATGGGGCTTTGAGAATTTTGATTTAAGAACACTGATCTAGGCCAGCTCCCTACCCAAGGAGGAATCCTTTCCCTCTAGCACCTAGAAGGCGGGCCATCTACCCCTTAGTTTAATTCTTTTTCTTTTCTTTTTTTTTTAAAGAATTACTTTATTGGGGACCAGCAGTTGGTGTAACGGCTATGTTGCTGGGCTTCCAGGTAGTCGACCACAGTTCAAGTCCCAGACCCGGTGTCTTAAACTCACGCCGGGTGCGTGTGCGTGCGTGCCCAAGATCCTGAAAGGAGAATGGAGGAGAAGGGATTGCGGCGTGGCCGTCTCCCCCTGGGGGGCTACTTCTCGCTTTCTGTCTCTCTGTCTCTGTCTTTCTGGCGAGTGCACACACCCTATAGCAAAAACCTCTTTTTTTTAAAATAAAAAAGAAAGAATTACTTAATTTTATTTATTATTATTTTTCACTTGACCAGAGGGAGAGAGAGAAAGGGAAAGTGAAAAAGCAAGCTGCCAGGTCTGGGACTCAAACCAACCTTGGTCAGCCATGGGGGAGTCCAGTGCCTTAACCACCACACCACCTGCCGGCCATTTGTTTTTCTTAATGACAGAGTTACTGCTTTGGTAGCCTCTGCTGATTTGGGATTTCTTCCATTTGGTTGATCCCCATCTTCCCAAACCTTCTGTCCTGTGGTCAGAGTTCTGCTTTCCAGAGCGTTACCGAGTGTGTCTAACTCTTCTTCTACACGATAGACTCAGTTCTCATGTTTCCCTCTGTCTTTCCACTATGAGAAGACCCAGTTTTTCCTTTCTTTCCTATTATGGGACGTTTTTAGAGCCTGTGTCGTCATCGCTGCAGAAAGCGGTAGCCTGTGTCCCTGCCCTAGGCTCCCCCAGCAGTGGGTGCGTGTACAGCCGGGCTGTGATCTTAAGCACCGGAGGAAATGTTCCTTTATGCGTCTCTGCTGCTGTGCTTTGTGCATACGTGCCTGGTCCTACACACTGAACGGGGTCTCCAGAGAGAGAGGTATGCAGGGATCCCTTAGAAGTACTGATAACAGCAAGGAGAAGCGAGAGTGGGTCTCAAAAACGAGTAAGAATGCGAAGTTTGTATGCAGACCTCGGGGTCAAGTGGAATATTTCACCTCACTCCCCTTCCTCAGTCCAGACTCACAGTAATATAATCTGGAAACTCGAGGTTGTGATGGGCTGTAGTATGACTTAGCGGGTGTGAACGGGGACGGTACCAGCGGCCGAGGAGCCTTTGTCTTTCCTTGGATTCTTTCCCGTTCTCTGGGTCCATGAATCAACACTTAGTGATGTTTTGCCCTGTTACTCGTCAGGCTCAAAGTAATAAGAGCTCAGGGCCCGCAGTTGGCATGGTGGTTAAGACACTGTAACCTCACATGGCTGACTGTGGTTCAAGTCCCAGAGCTGGTGGCTTGAAAATTATTTCCAGGCACATGTATGTGCATGCTCAGAATTGGAGAGGAGGATGGAGGACAAAGGGTTGAGGCATGGCCACACTCTCTCCACCCCGTCCCCGTGGGTTGATTTCTCATTTTCCCATTGTCTGTCCCTCTCTGGCAGGCACATGTACCCTATGGCAAAAAAGCCCTTTTAAAAAAAAACAAACCAAAAAAAAACACAAAAAAAGGAATAAGCTTCTTGTGTCTGTGTTCAGTGGTAGAGAGATGTAAGCAACACAGACATAAACTCAAGAGTAGTGTCCCTGTCTGGCAGGAGTGAAGCATAGGTGGAATACTTCCTAAACCATGAACATGAGTGTAACTCTCTACAGACATGTGGTTAAACCTTTTTAACAGGAAGCCAGAAACTTGCCATAGTGATCAAGACCTTGCCTTTAGCAAGACAGTTTTGTGGTAGCTACCTTCATTCCAACAACAAAAAAAAAAAAAATAGAGGGCCAACAGGTGGCATGGTGATTAAGGAGCTGGACTCCCCACGTGGCCAACTGCGGTTTGAGTCCTAGACCTGGCAGCTTGCTTTCTCATTTTCTCACATGGCCGGCCATGGTTCAGGTCCTGGACCTGGTGGCTTGCTTGCTCGCTCTCTCTCTCTCTCTCTGTTTTGTTCTTGCTGTGTCCCTCTCTAATAAAATTAAAAACAAATAGATAAATAAAGTTAAAATAATTCTTTTAAAAAAGAGATTTAAAAAATAATGATAATAAAGAATTCTTTGAAAAAAAGAAAAGAAATAGGGAAACTTGTTCTTTGTTGCTGAATTGTTTAGTTTTGCAGCTCTTTAGACCTTATTCAGGTTGTTGGGAGACAACTTGGGTATCACAGGGACGGCAGTATAAGAGGACTTCCAAAAGTCCATGGATAAGTGGAATTAAAATACGAGGTTTTTTTGGTATAAAACATTTTTGAAATCCATACATAGTTTTTTTCATAATATGCATGTTTCCATTAACTTTTAAAAGACCCTCGTTTCCTTTAAAGTAAAGAGGAGCTTTTATGAATTGGAGGGTTTTTTTGTTTTGGTTGTGTGTGTGTGTGTTTGTCATAGAGTGCATGTGCTTGCTGGAGAGAGAGAGGGGGAGAGGGAAAGTGAGAAATCACCCTCCAGTGGGGACAGCCACGCTACGATCCCTCCTCTACTCTCTTCCTGGGATTTTGGCCACGCATGCACAGTGATTTTCAGGCCGCCACATCCAGGCCTTGAACTGCAGTCAGCCATGTGGGAGCCCAGTGCCTTAACCACCACACCACCTGCTGGCCCCTGGATTGGAATTTTGCTAAGAATAGGGTGTCTTTCTCAACCCTCGCTGTCATACTAATCGAGGTGAAATACTCGGAGAACATCCTTCAGGTCGCCGCTGCGCCCTATAAAGCTCCTGTGAATTTTTGTTAACGTAGCTGTCCGATCATGAGAAAGTGAAGTAACAGAACTAAGTTTGCTCGGAAACTCACGCCATAGCTTAATAGGAAACAGGCGTTCTAAATGGATGTCCTAGAAGGTTTGTTCGGCACAGGGGGCCTTAAGGATTTGGTTTCTGCTAAGCATTTCCCCTTCCTCCAGACTCTGAGGTTGTGTGGGATTCTGCTGGGGCCTGATTGTGGCCCAGGCGGCCATCGCTAGCAGCTGGTGTTCTGAGGCCAGTGGAGGCATCTGTCCGTTCTCAGCAACTCTTAGCCTTGAGCTGGGTTTGAGCTCAGCGCTGCTTCCCCTGCTTCCTCCGTTTATCTGTGTGCTCTTATCTTTGCATGTGGCTCCTGCTCCTACCTTTACTGTCTTTATTTCATTTTTTAAAATTTTCTGTGCCATCATTTTGGTCTTATGGGGCCTTGATCCGAGCAGCCCTGAATCTTTCTGTCATCCTCGGTGTAGCTGGAAAAAATGATGCAGTCAAATGCCCGATCAAAAGCAGTTGGAATTGCATGCGTGTTTGGGTAATCCCTAATCAGTTACTTTTAATGTCATTAGAATTAAAACATTTGTAGAGACGTGTCATTTTTACCTTTTGATCACTGACAGGTGCACAATATTGACTAGATGGACAAGCCCCCTCTTAAATTTTTATTTCCTAAAAATGGCGGAAGCCTCCCGGATAAATTCAGAAATCTCAAAAGCTTGTGGGAGAATTCTTCTCACTAGTGCTTCTCTAAAAGGAAAAGTCCTGGACATGATTTCTAGTCTAATTAGACATTGTCGGTAGCAGTAAAAGAATCATTGGAATGACTAACATTTTGCTTGTAATGATTGATAAAGCGCAATCATTTATCTCCCATTTTATCCCAGAGTCTGGCATGAGTCTGAAATAAAATTGGCAGTAGAGGCCACGGGCTGTGAGTGAATTGATGGCAATATTACACTTGAATATTTTGCACCTCTCACACGAAACGTTCCAGAGTCTGATCGTACCTTTCTTCCGTAAACACTTCCCTGTGCCAGCTGCCATGTTACTGAAGGAGATGCTGCACGTGCCGGTCGGTGCGGGCCCTCGAGCAGGCACAGCGCAGTGTCCAGGTCCCATGCTCCTCTGTGACTGAGCCCGAGGGCCTCCCTTGCCTGGCAGTGGCTGCTGGCTGCTAGCTCGGGAGTGGGTTTTGGTGCTCTGCTCTCTTTCTTCATTGTTGGCTGATCGATTTGCATGCAAGATGCTACACGGATGACAAATGGTTTAAAAAGCTTGCGTGTGAGGCAGGGGGTGGCTAACAAATCCGAAATCAGAACCATAGGGTGGAATAAGTATAAACTGCTGAAAAACCACTTGAAGTTTAAAATGAAGCAATGGCAGTGATGTTATTGGTATTCATGCATGCCAAGGCCCCTGCCAGATGCCTGCCACATTCCCCTCAGAGGCTGGAGATACTCCCTGCATGGCGCATGGGAGCCTGCTCCCGCTCGGATGGCTGCTCCCCTGCAGCGCCTGGGGGAAGATGTGGCCGATTGGAGAGTTATGTCTGGATTCTGACTTCTAATAGTCCCCGAGTATGACTGCTATTGTTCTCATTTAAATTTCAGTGGTTTTACTGTGATGGTCCCAGGGAGATGCCAGTCTGCCAGTGACCTTTCTGATGTGCTCTGCTTGTTAACCCTCCAGAACAATGACAACGAGACGGCCCTGCATTGCGCAGCCCAGTACGGCCACACGGAGGTGGTGAAGGTGCTCTTAGAGGAGCTGACAGATCCCACCATGCGCAACAACAAATTCGAGACACCTCTGGACCTGGCCGCGCTCTACGGGCGACTGGAGGTGGTGAAGCTGCTGCTCAATGCCCACCCCAACCTCTTGAGCTGCAACACTAAGAAGCACACCCCTCTGCACCTGGCAGCGAGGAACGGCCACAAAGCCGTGGTCCAGGTCCTCCTGGATGCCGGCATGGATAGCAACTACCAGGTAGCAGGGCCAACGCTCCTCCCAGGCTCAAGGGACTTAGTCCTTTTGGAAAAGGCGCAAGTACCATGCTGCTGGGCTGTTCTTAGCACGTTTCCCATCGCGTCTCTGAGGCTTCCTTTCGTTGACTCATTCTACCGTGAAACTTTAGAGGCCAGTGAACTCCAATGAGTCTGTTATTTTTGTATTTCTTCTCAGGGGGTAATATGTAGTCATTACACCCTGAAAAGACGTGCTTACAGAGCGGCTCTCAAAATCGGAGACATTTCATTATCTTCCTATGCGTGTGTCACCACCGGCACCTTGTAGCACAGGAGAACTGGCCGGTGCCTCGTCGTCAGCCTCCCGCATGCGGATGAGGGGCTCCTTAGGCTTTGCATCGACCAAACTGCATTTGAAAGGAAGGTGTCTTCCTCCCCTTGCACCTTTCTTCTCGTTTTTTCCTTCCACTCCGGAAGGTAGAGTTTTGAGACGGTCCACCCGTAGGTGGCTCTGAGAGTAACTGGTGAATTATTCCCACGTGGTCTGCTGGTGGCACACAAACGGCCTTGCTGTACGGGCCGCAGTTGTGGTTTTGGAATCCATACGAGCAAAGTTGGAAAGATAATGACAGAGGGCTTTGTGTGGTTTGTTTTGTTCTCCTGTCCCTTCCTGTCTGTGTCCCGTTGGTCGTGTGAAGCCACGCCAAACTGTTCTGATGACATCCCGCTCTGCGCTCTCGTTTGCTTTCCAGACGGAGATGGGCAGTGCTTTGCATGAGGCTGCTTTGTTTGGCAAGACCGATGTGGTGCAAATCCTGCTGGCTGCAGGTGAGAGGTCGGCAGCGCTCTTGTCTACACAGCATGCCAGGGTTGGGATTGTTTTGCCCTAGCCTCCTCAGAGGGGGATCTGTGCTGGCTGCATTTGAACCTGATGTATGTGTGCGTGCACTGGGGTCGCAAGTGTGCGAGTTGTCCTGGAGGAGCTGGATTAAATGGCTCTGGATGACAACACTGGTTGTGCTGCTGGCAGCCTTAGGTGCTCTGAAATCTGGCCTCCTCTGAGGCTAGCTTGAAAATGCTCACCCCCCTGGTCCACCTGGTGTACCCTTCCAGGAATTGATGTCAACATAAAGGATAACCGTGGACTGACTGCCCTAGACACCGTCCGGGAGCTGCCTTCCCAAAAGAGCCAGCAGATAGCAGCCCTTATTGAAGGTATCAGTCCATCTCCTGTCTGGGTGACCGTGGGACACCCTAATCAAACCAAGGCATGTGTATTTGGTGCAGCTTTTTAAAAATCTTTCCACATAGATCACACGACTGGAAAAAGAAGTACAAAAGAGGTAGATCAAGCCCCCACACCCCAGCCGTCACTCGCCTCCAGTGTGGGCTCCCCATCACAGAAGGCTCAGGGTAAGCCGGCTTCTCTGCCCGCACAGGGGTGCTCGCCCCGAAAAGGGTCGAACATCCTGGGGCAGAATGGGAAATCTTAACTTAAGAGAGAATTTCAGGGCCTTGTAAGTACTTTATAAGTTTATGTTCAATTCATTGTTTCCCAACTGCTGTAAGAATTTTTCTCAGGCAGTGCTTAGGCCCCTGTGAACTTCTCTCCCTACTTTATTTTATTCTCCACCTGTACAGGGTGGCTCTGTGGGATCTGTTCGGGGTTGGTAGTCGGGAGGATGATTTCAGGGTGAACTGAGATCTCAGCAAAACCACCTTTCTCTAAGGCACATTACAGTGGCCTGTGCGTGGTTAACCCACAGCGCATACTTACCGAGCGTCCTGTGCTTCGTAAGTATGTACGTGACAGATTTTGGTAATAGATCATTTTGCCAACAGAGGTGGTCCGGATGCCAGCGGAGGCAGTCCAGCCTCTCCATCATTAGCAAGCACCCACCTTTTCAGATTTATTTAGCAGCCTTTCGGGTCCATGGTATGATGAATGGCAAAGGCAAAATAAATACTGACTTTCACCTTCCCCCGTGTTCACATCTCAGTAAAGGCTACAGAACTTAAAATGAAAAAGAGAGGAGCGAGGGTATCCAGCTCTCTCTACTGTGGATTCCTTGTCTCCTCCCCCCACACACTTTTTCTCTTGACCCCATAATCTGCAAGTAATAGGAGGATTTATAGTTGACTAAGCTTTTAAGGATTTTGCATTTATAGTTCTGACTGTTAGCAAGCGATCCAAAGGCACCTGGTCTCTAACTGGGTAATTTGCAGTTAGAAATCCGGACCCCAAGAGCTCTGAGGTTGGTAGTTGTCTACCGGGTGAGCCTGACAGTGGCACAGCGGCTCCGCCTCAGTGCACCTTGCCGCGTTGCATGGGTTAAGTTGACGCTATGAAAGGATTGAGGTGGGTGGGGGGGGATTTTACAAAGGCCTTGGGTAGTATCCCTTATATACGTCCAGTGTTTTCCGTATCAAATGAGAGAAAAATCAGTTTAGATCTCAGGCATGAAGAGCAGCTGAAACTGTTCATTCCCGCCATGGGTATAGTAATCCTTTTCCTGCTCTAGGTTAGCATCTGTCAAGTTCACATTGCCAAAGAGGCTTTGGTTTGGACCCCGGGATGGTGCTCCCTCTGTGTTGACTGTTACCCTCCAACCCCGTTTTCAGGTGACGTGGAGAAAGCAGTGACCGAGCTCATCCTCGACTTCGACACGAATGCCGAAGAGGAAGGTCCCTACGAGGCGCTGTACAACGCCGTCTCCTGCCACTCGTTGGACAGCATGGCCAGCGGGCGATCGTCCGACCGAGAATCCACGAACAAGGAGTCTGAGGCCGCAGGAGTGAAAGCTGCTGGAGTGAGGCCTGTACGTGGCCATGGCCCTCCCCCTGGGGGGCTGTGTGGGCTGGGAGGCCTGTGCCGGGGCACTGGGAAGCTCTGACCCAGGGCCGGCTCGCCTTTCTGAAGCCAGTCCCCCTTCCCTGGGCCGTGCGTGCGCTGCCCTGCTCAGTGTGGAAAGCCTCTGCAGATCACGTCCAGGAGGCACCTCGGTTTCACTGAAGCCAGCGTAAGCTGTTGGCGTCTTTCCATTACTTTGCTGGCCTTAGAGCAGATTAAAGCATTTTATGTCAGGTAGCCTTAGGTCCGTTCCTGTCTCTGGGTCTTTGCTGTCTATTGGTTTTGTCTCTGGAGAGCAGAAACACGGTGCAAGAAGCTTGCTGAAGTGAACTCCTGTCTGCCCCAAGTACGCGCTCACCTCCCGTCTGGCCACGAGGAGGCATCCATGGGAACGTGGGCCGATCGCGCTTTCAGCAAGACGCCAGGCGTCTTCAGGCAGCGTATGTGTCCGTTTGTGGTGGTCTGTTTTTATCCAAGGGTAGCACCTACAGCCGTTGAGATTATAGGATGGAAACAACTCGGAATTTTCCCTTCTTAAGGTCTGTCTTCCTTGCTTCCCGCTTCTTTCTCTAGCTTGCTTTTACTTCTGGTTGACACTGGCCTCAGGATCCTCCCGTCCCCCCAGTTCCTCATCCCCAGGGTCCTGCAGTGAGCCTAGTACTGACCACTGGTCCCACTGACGCCTTCCCGCGGTGTCAGGCAGTCACAGGGGTTCGAGCCCTGCTGTTAGCTGGACTGGCCGTTGCTGTCGCAGGGCCCCGGTGCTAACCCCGCTTGGAGAAGTATTTTCAGATGTTGGTTGGTACTTCTTTCTCTTTTGGTCTGAATCTGGACCACCATTTTGAAGATGCTTTGACTGCTCAGCAAGCCTTAGCCTTTGTAGGCGTGCCCTGGCTAAGGCCTCATGTATCTCGGAGTGTTCTTTCTCTGTAAGGTTCCTTACCCTGCCCTGCTCGGCCCCGAAATGGTCTCAGCACTTCAGTCTGGTTCTTGGAAAAGTCGGCAGTTTATGGCAGCCCCCAGAGGGTGTTCTCAAGGATTGTGACAGAGGGCACTGTAGGGCGCTGTGCAGGGGGAATCCAGTCCCACATGACCTAACCACAGTTCAGATCTCGGCCCTGGCAGCATAAAAACATGGTGAGTGCATGCCCCAAATTCTGACGGGATGGAGAAAGGGAGGGAAAGGGGTTGCATGTAACCACGGCCCATGTGAGGGTGCTGTCTCCCCACTTCTCTCTCTGGAGAATGAGTGTGTCCTCTGACCCAAAAAAAGAGGCCTTGACACAGCTCCTTGCAAAGATGAAAGCAAGTGTGTAAGCCGAACGCTGATAGCCTTATGCTTCTATAGGAAGAACTGTTTTTTGCTTTTTTTTTTTACTTTGTTAGGCACAAATGAATTCAGCAATTCCAGCTGTGAAGATTTGCTTTAAATGGTTTTTTACAGGGATTGCCCATTAGGGGGAGCTGGAGCCTTTGCAAAAAGCAACAGAGAGTTACTGAAGAAAGCTGTGAACAAGAGCTGCTGTGATTGATTTACCCGTCTTTGTTCCATCCACTACTGGAATCTAGCCTCCCGGGGTCCTGCTAAAAAGAAACTCATGCCTCTTGAGGTCCCTGCCTTGCCATTCCTACTCCTGTGTTTTGTAGCTGTGCTGTCTTCCAGCCCTTGATAATGTGGCCTCTGGACTCTTCTACATCTTGGTAAACAGGATGGTGTGCAGAAATCCGTTCTGTACTCTCAGGCCCCCAGTGTAGTTTTCACATCAAGAAGAGGGAGGCGACTCCTGGGTAGTTCTGTTTCCCTCTGGTGTCCTGGATCATTCATTCTTCCATAGATGGCGTTCGTGTTCCTTCTAGGCTTTCTAGCCTCGGGAAGCCTTCCAGGACAGTCCTCTATGTCGTTATGTTTCATTTTGTTCTTCTTCTGCTATTTGTGTCCTCAGCTTGGTTTCCTGGGAGAACCTGGTCCTGTTCCTTCTGCTGGTCCCTTCCTTACAAGGTGGTACCAGCACCAGACTCATTCCTGCACTTCCAGAGCAGAGAAGGGTGGGGAAAGCGGGACTTGGTGGGAAGTCTAATCTGAATAGCTTGCTTGGGCCTGAATACACTGGTGTGGAAGTTGTTGCCATGAGGCCTCCATCTGGTTCCAGGGGTGTGAGAGTGGCCGACATATCAAGATGTAACGCTAATGGGACCGGCAGGTGGCGTGGGGGTTAAGGGTGCTGAATTGCCACGTGGCCGACCACAGTTCCAGTCCTGGACCTGGAAGCTTGCTTTCTCGCTTTCCTTCTCTCTTTCTCTTTCTTGCTTTTGCTCTGTCCCTCTCTGGTCAAATTAAAATAAGTAAGTAAATAAATTAAGTTAAATAAAATAATTAAAAAAAAAAAAGAAGTAATGCTGAGCAGAGAAGCAGGTTTAGCAGAGTGATCACAGCTGCCAAACGCTGGCGCTGGAGTCTCCTCAGACGTGAGAAACGTGTTTCCTTGCAGTTTTCTCACGGCTCTTGTCTAACTCAGCATTCACCTCTGTCCTGGCTTGCCGAAATGCTTACTTTTCAGCGACATAGTAAACTCATTTCCAGGCCAGGGAATGAGCCTGTGGGCCAGCTCCTGGTTCAGGCCCCATCCCTTTCAGTAGGAACACTGACTGCTGAGCCTGGCCAGAGCTTTGGAGTATAAATGAGATAAAGACACTAAGGCACAGGGAACCAGCAGTTAGCGTAATGGCTTTGTCGCTGGACTCCCACGTAGTCGACCGCGGTTCACGTCCCAGACCTGGTGGCTTAAAACTCACGCTGGGTGCGTGTGCGTGCATGCCCAAGATCCCGAGAGGAGAAAGGAGGAGAAGGGATTGTGGCGTGGCCATCCCCCCTGGGGGGTGATTTCTCTCTTTCTGTCTCTATGTCTCTCTCTGTCTGTCTGGCGAGCGCACGCGCCCTATAGTGAAAATCTCTCCAAAAAAAAAAAAAAAAAGACACTAAGGCACAATGGCAAACCCTTCTGTAGTTCTCAGCTACTAGTAGCCTCCTCCAAGGACACCTGTGTGTGAACACACATCGCTCTGTGTATTTCTGAAATTGTCTCCCCGTGATCTAACCAATCCAGTGTCTCTTCTTTAGCGAGTTTCTTGCTCTGACACATAGGTTGGCAAACTACAGCCCAGAAGTGGCTGCCTGTTCCTGTAAATAAAGTTTTATTGGAAGATAGCCACACTCATTCACTTACATACCGTCTGTGGCTGCTTTTGTACAATAGCAGAGTGGACTTCAGAGCCTAAAATATTTACTATATGACCCTTCCCAAAAAAGCTTACCAGGGGCCAGCAGGTGGCGTAGTGGTTAAGGCACTAGACTCCCACAGGCACATGGTTCAAGTCCTGGGCCTGGTGGCTTGCTTTCTCTCTCTGGTCAAATTAGAAACAATAACAACATATAAAATTAAATGATTCCTAATTAAAAGCTTACCAATTTTTGTTCTGTGGCAGACAACTGACAAAAATTTCTTTTAAAAATGGGCTTTGGGGCCAGCAGGTGGCATAGTGGTTAAGGTGCTGCATTCCCACGTGACCAACCACCGTTAGAGGCCCAGACCCAGCGAGTTGAAACATATGTCAGGCATGTATGCGTCCATGCCCAAATCTTGAGAGGAAAATGGAGGAGGAGGGATTGTGGCGTTGCCATCCCCCTTAGGGGTGATTTATCGCTATCTCTCTAGCAAGCGAATGTGCTCTATAGCAAAAAATGTTTTTCTCAAAGAAACAATATCCTGAGAGGAAAATGGAGGAGGAGGGATTGTGGCGTTGCCATCCCCCTTAGGGGTGATTTATCGCTTTCTGTCTCTCTAGCAAGCGAACGTGCTCTATAGCAAAAAATGTTTTTCTCAAAGAAACAATAAAAAGGACTTGGAGGGGCCAATAGGTGGTATGGTGGTTAGGCCACTGGACACCCACATGGCCGGTCAAGTCCTGGACCTGATGGCTTGTTTTCTTACTTTTTCTCTGTCTGTCTGTCTGTCTGTCTCTGTCTGTCTCTCTCTGGTGAGTGCACTTGTCCTTTAACAAATGTGAAAAACAGTAATAATTATAAATAAAATTAAATAAATTTTTAAAAAATAAATAGTCTTTGAGAAGGGCTAGCCCATGACCTGGTGGTTGTGGGGACAGACATGGCCAGCCATGAAGTTCAAGCTCCAGCCCTAGCTGCTTGAGAGACACTCGGGCTCATGTAAGTGCATGCTCAATATCCCAAAAGGATGGAGAAATGGAGGAGAAGGGATTGGGGCATGACTGCAACCCACTGGGGGTGCTTTCTCCCTCTCCCTGTCTTTCTGTCTCTCCAAGAGTGCACATGCTCTCTGGCTGGGAAAAAAAAAAAGGAAAGTCCCATAAACTAGTGATTTATAATAGTTATGATTGAAGAAGGTGACCAAGGGTAAGAAACCACTTTTGAGCTCTTTACTAATGAGTGAGGATATACCAGTATCAGCATTGAAGTTAGAACAAGAATTGAGGTTTCCTTTCTTTCTTTCTTTTTTTTTTTTTTGGAGAGATTTTCACTGTAGGGCGCGTGCGCTCGCCAGACAGACAGAGAGAGACATAGAGATAGAAAGCGAGAAATCACCCCCCAGGGGGGATGGTCACGCCGCAATCCCTTCTCCTCCATTCTCCTCTCGGGATCTTGGGCACGCACGCACACGCGCCCAGCGTGAGTTTTAAGCCACCAGGTCCGGGACGCGAACCGCAGTCGACTACGTGGGAGTCCAGCGACATAGCCATTACACTAAATGCTGGTTCCCTCTTTCTTTTTTTTTTTGATAAGAATTATTTTATTTTATTATTTCATTTTATTTTAATCCGAGAGGGACAGAGAGAGAGAGAGGTGTGGGGAAGGAGGAAGGGAAAGTGAGAAAGCAAGCAGCGAGGTCCGGGACATGAACTACAGTCAGCCATGTGGGATCCAGCGCCCTTAACCACCATGCCACCTGCTGGCCCCAGGAATTGATGTTTTCACCCTTGATTATTTTCCTCATTACTTCCTCAGTAACTTTGGTTCGTTACACCGATTTCCCATGTTGCGTCTTTGATCTGGTGACTCCTCTCTGTGGCATAGAAAACCGAGCCGTGCTGGCATCAGTACTGTGAAGGACGTTCTCCAGAAGGCTGCGATGTTCTCCCTGCTGGCATTTCTCGCTGTGGTCCTCGGGCATGCACGGTGTTTGCGATCCCTGTTACAGACATCAAAAACCGTAGAGCATGCTAATTGAATTGTGGAGGGGCACGCAGCGTTCTCCATCTGTTCAGAGACTAAACTCTGACTTCAGTCTCTCAGGGGAATTCTTTACATTATTCATTTTTATTTCCAAGGGCTAAGATAAAGTTAAAGCAAAAAGTTAGATACTTGAAAATAGAGGTAGTGGTATATTTATGTTTCGTCTTCTGCAGAGAGAGCGTCCACCGCCTCCGGCAAAGCCACCACCCGATGAAGAGGAGGAAGACCGCATGGATAAGAAGTACTTTCCCTTGACAGCTCCTGAGGTAGAGGGCTGCGGGCTTATCGTCATCACTGAGATCCGTGTTTGTGGGAGGTGCATCAGTACACGTTTAAGGAAGGCTTTGCTTTCTCCTTTCACTGACTTTCTGGGTTGGAGTTTGTATTGTGTGGACCGTATCACACATATCACATGTGTTGTAATGTGGAATAAGATCTTTCCGACTCACTCAGAAGCCCTAAGCAAAGAATTTCAATATAGCTTTCTAGCAGATAGGCCAATTATTGATCTGTCATCACATGTGGAATGTTAAATGTACATTTTTCTCCTGGCTTCAGTAAATTGGACAGTCTCAACATTTGCGTTTATACCTTTGTCTTTTGATACAAAATGTGGAGTTCCCCCTAATTACTTGAGGTTTTTTATTATTATTTATTTAATTCCATTTGTTGTTGTTGTTGTTGTTGTTAATATTATTTTTAATTTGACCAGAGAGGGAGAAAGGGAAAGCAAGAAAGCAAGCTGCCAGGTCTGGGACTCAAACCACAGTCGACCACGTGGGAGTCCAGCGCTTTAACCACCATGCCACTTGCCGGCCTCCCCTAATTACCTTTCCTCTAGGTTGTGCTCCATTAGCTAGCTTTGATGGCTCTGCTCCAAATGTCTTACTTCCGTGTTTGCACAGTCCCTGTTTATTTCACACCAGGGTAAACATGAATTGAGTTATGAAGGCTCAACTGAGAAATGGGAAGGATGGACAGGAGGATCAAAGCCCTCTATTTGGGAAGAACAGTCTACCTTTTTACAAAATGAAATATCGGGCCAACAGTGGCTTAGTGGTTAAGGTGCCGGATTCCCATGTAGCTGACCACAGTTTGAGTCCTGGGTCCGACGACTTGAAACTCATGCCAGGCGCTTGTGCGTGCATGCCCAAAATCCCGAGAGGAGAATGAAGAAGGGATTGTGGCGTGGCCATCCCCCCTGGGGAGTGATTTCTCATTTTCCCTCTCACTGTCTCTCTGGTGAGCACACACACCCTATGGCAAAAACCTGAGAAAAGAGAAGAAAAAAAGAAATACTGTCATGGGGCAAATAACTTAATCTTTTTGCTTAGCTGTGTGAAGAAAATTCTTTTTTTCCTTGATCTTTAATCCTTGAAATTCTCCTTTAACACTTCCTATCATTCAGAGGGCATGTTTAGTATTTACTAAAATATTACATGATTTTAATAGTTCTTTTGTAGCTGAGTCTATGTCATATTCTTTCACTTAAAAGTCAGCTGATATAAACTGGTTAATTAAATCTCACACTTTATTCCTAGAAGACAGAGTTAACAATTTTTAAAAATGGTTTTACTTAAATTTATTTATTATGATTTGATCAGAGAGAAAGGTTGAAAGTGAGAAAGCAAGCCGCCAGGTCCAGGACTTGAACCACACAGCCAGCCATGTGGGAGTCCAGCGCCCTTAACCACCACGCCACCTGCCGACCCAAAGTTAATAATTTTTTACAATATTTCTGTGGACCATTCAGTTTGACAGGTTCTTTTATTCAGTATAATAAGTACATTGGAACCTAAAGGATGACTTCCGTTTAATAAAATGTGTAAGCAGAAGGAAGGCCCTTTAGGAATGTGCAAATCATTGTTGGAGATAGGGGAGGATTTCAATACCAGGTAAAAATTCTGCCCTATTTCCTTCTATGCCTTAATTACGAAATGCTTATTATCATGTCCTAAGTAAGGGTCCTTACAAGTACAGCCTCTTCTCGTTACCTCTGAGTAATAGTGTGTTGGAAGGAGATACAATTGCTGCAGAAAAGCCCTGCCCACTTTTACATAAAGATTGGGTTAATTCCCCACACACACCTTATTTTTCCCCCACCAGGAGGAACCTAGTAACGTAGAGCATAGTTAGTGAAGGCTGGATCTCTACCTTTTTATTTAAGTCTAGTACTTCTTCCATGAAAGGGCTGCAGAGTGGAGGGGCACCCCGAGCGCGTTTTCTGTGCTGCATCTCACCCCCACCTCAGTCAGCTCAGGTCATGGGCAGGTGTGACCGGAGCGTGTCCAGGGAAGCCCCAGGGTGTGAACCTGAGGCCTTTCCATGTAGGTCCACTTGTGTTGCCACTGTGCCCACCATCTGCCACCGCTCTAGCCATGTGTTGCCTCTTTAATAAGGACTTGGATTCCAGTTTCCAATGCAAAACTCTTAAAGAAACACTGTGTACCAGGACTCCTGCTCTCCCAGGGTTTCCAAACCATGCACTTCGGCAGTTGTACGGTGTGAGGATGCGGCAGGACAGAATCTCCCTCTTACTCTCCTGGACAGGAGAGTTTCTCTGAGATGCACGTTCTTGTTTGAGAGACAGGAATTCTGGAATTCTGAATCAGTTGGACCAGCGTAAGTCAGTGTTTGTCTGAAAGATCATTAGGATCCTACATTTACTCTCATTTACTGGTGATTACATGGTCTCAAAGTATACTAATTTTTTTCTTTAATTCTGTAATCGTCACTCTTCATCATTATTCCTTTTCTTTCTTCTTCTAAGACAGTCTCAGTGTGTCATGACCCCCCGCCTTAGACTCCAGAGTAGCCAAGACCCCGGCGTCCACCACCACCACGCTAAGCTCTCTCAGACGTGGCCTTCCTGCGTTGCCCGTGCCTGTTCAGCAGCGTGCGTTGCTATGACTGGGCCTACGGTCTTTACTTACTGGTTTTCACCTGAGCTAGATTGTATCCAGCTTTATTAAAGACATTGTTTTTATAAACAATCACGGTATTTCAGGCAGGATATGGGCAGACAATTATTAACAGTGAGCACCTTTCAAATGCCTTTCTGCGATAGATGACTCAAGTCAGAAAGCTACTGTGGGACCCACCAGTCTTCATTTGGTGCTCTAAACAGGGCAACTTTGGAGCCAGGCTTGACATTGCACGTTGAACATGGTGTTTAGCATCTCTCACGAGCTAACCCTGACTTTTGGGAAAGGAAAGCAGCAGAATAACGATCGAAGGTCTACAGTGTAGAAAGGGAACTGCGGTTCTGTGCAGGGACGCCATCTCAACGTCATGGGAAAGCCCAGACTGACCGACATGCTGGTAGGCAGGTTTTTATGGTCAGGTCCCAACACATCTCGGGTTTGAAGGAGTTAAAGTCTATAGTGAAGGGGGAGGAGGGGAGGACATCACAAACACATTTTAGTTCTTCCACACCCAAAGGCATCTGAGTCAGGGAGAGCTAAGGGAAGTCTCAGAACCAAAAAGGAAAGATGTTCCCCCAAATCAGTCCAGCCTCAGAGCCCTTCTCTCACTGACAAATGCTCCTTCCCCAGACAGCAAGGAAAGTGAGCTGTGTGCTCAGGACATAGCTTAAAAAAAACGGTAAAACAAAATTCTGCATTTTTATAATACTTGAGAAAAATAATATTTCAGGGACCAGCAGTTAGCATAATGGCTATGTCACTGGACTCCCATGTAGTCGACCGCGGCTCGTGTCCCGGACCCGGTGGCTTAAACTCATGCCGGGCACGTGTGCGTGCGTGCCCAAGATCCCGAGAGGAGAATGGAGGAGAAGGGATTGCGGCGTGACCATCCCCCCGGGGGGTGATTTCTCGCTTTCTGTCTCTCTGTCTCTGACTGTCTGGCAAGCTCACACGCCCTATAGCAAAAACCTCTCCAAAGAAAAAAAGAAAAAGGTAAAAAAATTATAATAATAATATTTCAAACTGTACAGTCCCCAGAATTACAGCTGCCAGATGCGCACACTTCACGTGGCATCTCCAGCACCCTCAGCTCTCTGTGCCCTGTCTGTTTGGGTATCTCAGAGTCTCCCCCTTGCGAGTATCAGCTTTTCCCCTTTCTCCTTTGCAAGGGACCTGTTTAGCTGGGGCCCTGGCTTTGGAGCTGGTTTTGCAGACAACCTCGCAGGTCTTCCCTGTGGCCCGTCTTGCTCCTTGGCTTTCTCCCCTTTAGCATCCGCTTTCTTCTTGGCATGGTGGTGGCGGCGGGACGTAGGTTCTAGACGGGGATGCCGTGGTGCGCAGGCTTTGCTTGGTCAGGCGGTCTTTCTCACTTCCTCACGTTGCCGGGGCCCTAGGAGTCTATCTGTTACGTTAGTGCAAAAGTAATTGTGGTTCTGGACTGTTGAAGTTTGCTGTTTGATATTGGATACAGTCTTAAATGAACGTGGCTATGGTATAGATCATTTTAATGCACATTTCTTACTTTATGTTATTTTTGCTAATGACTTATTGCTTGCTACTTATTTTATATGTATTTTAGACTGTGGAAGTGATGTTAGACAAAAAACAAATTCAGGCAATTTTATTTGAGTTCAAAATGGGTCGTAAAGCAGCAGAGACAATTTGCAGCATCAACAACGCATTCGGCCTAGGAACTGCTAACGAGCATAACAGTGCAGTGGTGCTTCAAGAAGTTTTGGAAAGGAGGTGAGAACCTTGAGGACGAGCATAGCGGCCGGCCATCGGAAACTGGCAACGACCAGTGGAGCGCAATCCTGGAAGCTGATCCTCTTTGGAGAGGAACTCAACGTCACCCATTCTATGGTCATTTGGCATTTGAAGCAAATTGGAAAAGTGAAAAGGCTCGTTATGTGAGTGCCTGAGCTGACTGAAAAAACAAATCACCATTTTAAAGTGTCGTCTTCTCTTATTCTGTGCAAGAACGGTGACCGTTTCTTTTTTTTTTTCCATTTTTTTTTCCTTTTTTTTTTTTGGAGAGGTTTTCGTTATAGGGTGGGGGGGCCCG